CAGCAAGAACAACAGGGGGGAGGGAGGAATTTGAAGGTTTTTCAGAAGATCAAAAAGATCATCATCATCAAAACTGAAAGAAGAAGAGGAATTTTTCGAAAATACCCAGAAGAAGGTCGCGAGTTCAAGAAGGGTAAAAAAAACCATCGTTGAACTCAAAGAAAAGACCTCTCATCATCGTTCAGAATGCCCAAAACGGATGTAGCTCGCAAGCCTCCGTTAATCATCATCATCGCCGAAGCCGCTTCAAATCCACAAAAGGGTGAGCAACTCGTTATAATGAGATTTTCATTTTGTTTTGCAAGTAGAAAGGGTCGATCTGGACGAAATGGAAGAAGAATGAAAGAAGAAGAAGAAATTTCGCGGAAGCTTCAAGAACCGACCATGCCGCCGCAACGGTATTGAAAAGAAGAAGGAAATTGGAAACCCTAAATGGGTTTCTACAGCACTGACCGTCCCCCTTCCCATTTATTTCTTATGCTTGCTTTTAATTTTTCCTTTTCCATCTATTTTTTTTTTATTTTTTTATATTTAATTGTTAGTAAATGATTAACCTTCCTTTCATGTATATAAGTTGTAATCTAGTTCCATCTTAGTTAAAACATTTAAAATAGAAACCATTTTTTAGGAACCGTAAGTTTAAAATCATAGTTAAAAACCTCCTTTTTTTTAAACTCATAATAGAACTAATTTTTTAAGCTTAATTTTCAAAACTTAACGCAAAATCATTAAAAAAAATTTTTTTTTAAGACTTAATTTAAAATTTAGAGTTGAAACCATTTTAAGACTAATTAATTTCAAAAACATTTTTTTAAAGCTTAATTTAAGACCTTTTTAAAGAATTAATTTAATACTATTATTAAAACTCTTTTTTTTCATTAAAACTTAATTTAAAAACTTTTTAACAAAAACTAAAAGTTAAACCTAATTAAACTTAATTTGAAATTTATTTTGAATTCTAATCTCTAATTAAGGGATTTATCTTTAGACATTAAAATTAATATTCTAGTTTAGTTGTTAGCTTATTATGTAAATAATTAATTGCTAACTTTCTTTTTAGAATTAACATTCATTTTGGACCAGGTGCCCGCTAATTTCGTCTATATTCTTATGACCGTTCCATGCATTATTTTCCCATCTGTACAGTACTAATCTTCTATTTTCGTACTTCATTTTTTTTGAGGTTGTAAGTTATGCGAGACTATCGTCGCTTTATTCTGTTATTTTTTATGGTTGTAATTTACGCGAGTGATCGCCGCTTTGCATTTTTTTTACTGCTTTCATATTTTCTTATATTTCAATTCTGCCATGTAATGATCTGTCGTGTGAATTTTTTTACCGTTAACGTCCTTCCGAAGGATTAGGTCTAACAGTTTGACCGCCGAGTCAATAACCCTAACCTTTAACCATTTCAAACCCTAATTGACTAGGTGTCCTACCGTTAACGAAAATACCCTTTACCCTAGCATTAGGTTAAGGAGTCGCCGCACTCTGTATTAGGTTTCCCGCCGTGGAATACCTATTTTACCCTTTTTATTCAATTCAACTTTCAAACCTAGAGAATTTGAGTCGCCGTATCCATATTTTTAGGCGTCCCGCCGTGGACAAGTTTACCCTTTACCTTAGCTTTAGGATAAGGAGTCGCCGCATTCCGTTTTAGGTTTCCCGCCGTGGAATACCCATTTTAACCCTATTTTCAACTTAACCATTTCAACGTAGAAATAGGAGTCGCTGCACTCCACGTAAGCGCTTCCTTAAGAACGCTTATTCCCCATTGAAACCTTGACTACAGTCAAGAAGTTCCTAACCTCCCTTTCGAGGGGAAATATGATTACTCTGATTCCATCCCCTACCCATGATACGTAGGCACAAGATGCAAATTTTGCCGAGTAAACTTAGGACTAACCCTTAGGTCTCTCTGTCACTCTTAACCCTTAGCTCAGTATATATCTTTAAACAAATAATTAAAGCAAATAGTAAATTTAAACAAAAGGTTCCTGTAGAGTACTACATAAGTTTAGGGTGCTAATACCTTCCCTAAGCTTAACCAACCCCTTACCTAGATCTCTCCCCGCATTATTTACGATGAAAAAATTAGGTTTTCCTTCTTTTGACCTTTTCCTTCGGATAAATCAAAGATCGGTTGTGAACTAAAGACGTGATTCAAACTAATTAATAGTTTGATATCCTATTCTTACCGCAACAATATCCTTTATCTTCATCTTAGGGTTATTTTCAGTGAATTTTGAATCCTCTTACTAAGAGATTTGGTACTCATCATATTCACATTGTATTCTCTAGAGCAATTATGAATATCAACTATTTTTCTAAGTTGCCAAGTCTCCTCATTAAGCAATTTTCCACAATATGCAGACCACTTCCAACCTTCCTTACACCCACCCTCACTCTTTGTTTGTCATTTTTTATAAACTTTAGATCTCTCCCAGATTGGACAACATAGGTTTGAGTTACTTTCTTAAAGTCCCTTTTTGAACTAAAATAAGTTCCCAGCTCCCATTTATAATTAGACATATCTTTCATTAACTTGAAAATTGGATACTTCTTCTTTCTTGGTGCATCACTCCACTCACTATCACAACCACTTTCTAACTCCTCACTATCATATGCACTTTCATTCTCATCTCCATTGTCTCCTTCCTATTTATTTTTCTTCTTTTTACTTGTTCCTTCATGGTTTCCATCATATTCAACTAGGTTGTTTAAGTGTTCTTTAACATAATTCTCACTCATATCAGAATCACTAAATTCAACTTCCAAAGCACTATCATAATTGTAAGTCTCATTCTCACTGTCATCAGAGCTTGTAACAACACTCAGCGAACCTGCATTAGTATCTATACCATCATGTACCTCACCATCATTGTTCAAATTCTCAGAACCTACATTCACACCCTCAACACCATCTTTGTTCAAACCATCAGGACCTACATTCACACCATCAATACCTACATTCTCGCCGTCTACAACATCATTGTTCACATCCTCACTACCTTGCTTATCATCCTTAGTGACTTCTTCATAAAGATCTTCAAGTATGGCTTCTACCTCTGGGTTAAACACACTTATAGGTTCTTCCTCCATATTTATAGGTTCTTCTATAGGACTATCAATATATTCTAGTTGGGATATGAAATGTTCTCTGTGAATATCAACTATCAAGTGTACCCTATAGAGGTCGACAACCTCTAACGTACCCTTGTCATCATTAAGAACATTTGTCCCAAAAGTAGGGTCATTACAATATATGGTGTCTACCTTAGTATAACCTAGATCTTTTAGTATACCAACCAATTCAAAGTAACTCCACCTATCCACATCTACTTTTAAATCATTGCATTCCCCCTCCTCATATACACATTTTTTTCAGAGTCCACAAACTCACCTCTATGATGAATTTTCAAACACAACATTTCATCCATTTCTACCTAAGACAAGAAAACGCAAAATTATATAACAGATTTCAAAAGGAGTGAAAACCCTAAGAATATAAACCCAGCTAACGAAACTATGAACATACAATGATAGTACGAAAATGCAACAAAACTATGAACATACAATGATAATAGATAAAAACATTGTTAGAAATAACCTTGATTGAGACCTTTGTCGTCTACAATGCGCCTTCTTCGTGCATACAATGCATTCTTCGTTATCTCTGCTAGGGTTCCTATTTCTGCTTTTGTGAGAATGGAAAATGAAATGTGAATATAATCTTACTTACCATGCCACCTAAGCATTAATCTTACTTACCATGCCACCTAAATAGTCCTTTCCTGCCACCTAAGTAATAACTTACCATGTCAGCTAACTTTATGAGGTTAATCTAACGTTTCTAACACAAAGGACAAACGTGTTACACTTTTGATAACGTAATGGACCAAATTGGACGTTTTAAAAGAAAGATGGTCAAAATAGACTCAGAGGTATAGGTAAGGGACTAAAAAGGGTATTAAGTCAAAAATAAAAATAAAATAAAATAACTGCTCAATCAGCACGCCACCTAAACCTTTTTGCCCAGTCAGATCTCAGAAGGTTTAAACAATAAGAATCTTTACATGACAGAGTTGTTGTTGCAACTTTTTTTACAAGAGTGTAAACCAGAACTCGTTTAAATGGCAGGGGATAAATACCTATTAACTCATTTTTAAATAAAAAATATTCTATAAAAATAATTATTTAAATATGTATATTTTTAAAAGAAATTTGTTATTTTAAAGTTTTAAAGAGTATACCAGACACTCTTACAAATATACTCTTTGTGAATTTTGTTTAGAGGTATTTGGGGTTCAGTTTGGATCCGTCTTGAAGCAAAATATCATTCGATTCAAAGGTAAATTTACTTACGATTTAGTTCAATTTTGAATGATTGATTAAAAAAATCAGATCCAATACAATTTAATGCAGTTTAATTTAAATCGGTTTTTTTGGATATTCAAATTATAAATTATAACTTTTATTAATATTCTTAAAATATTAATAAATAATAGATTTGACATAATATATAATATATTATATCAAAAATTAATATTATAAAATAAAAATAATAAAAATAAATAGATTAAACTAAACTAATAAATATAATTTTAAAAAATAAATATCATCTAATATTAAATTGACACAACATATATACTAATAAAAAATAAATTAATATAAAAAATATATACATAAGATTTGATTTGGTTTAAATCAATTTTAAAAAATCAATCCGAAATCCAACACGAACGCAACCATTTTTATAAAATGGCATCTAAATATATTAAAAAAAAATCAAATTTTTTTTGCAGTTTTGAATTTTTTTTTTATAGGTTTGCCGTTGTTATTTGAATTGTTTGGATTTAAAACCCCTAATTTGTAGGTTTTTGTTAATACGATAGTGAAGTTTTATACGCTACTTGTTTTCCAATCAGTCACTCACACATCACTCTGTATATTTGTATCGCACTATCGCTCGTGTGAGGGAGAAAAAGAAACAGAGAAAAATGGTAGGACCATCGAGGCCTCAAATTGTTCTGTTTGGTTCTTCCATTGTTCAGCTCAGTTTTCTCAAAGAAGGTTGGGGTGCTATTCTTTCTCACTTGTATTCTCGCAAGGTACGTTTCTTTTTTACCACTTGACTTTATTTTTCCAGAAATGCATATATACTGATTCTTCTGAATTTGTAATGTTTATTCATTTATATCAAATAATTGACGATTATTACTCTTAGGATATGATTCATGTCACCTCAGATTGAGTGGATCATATAAAATATACTAATTCACTTTGTTTTCTTACGGAAGAAATCATCAAATGAAAAATAAACCTGATTTTATGACGATTATCCTTATTTGCATTTACAACGAGAATTTTGCACATTATTAGTAGTTGTGGTGTATTAATAACACTAGTACATGAGTTATTGGTTGTTAGGTTAGGTTAAGTTTGTTGTTGTAGTCGTCGAAGCGGTTTGAATTTGTTGGAAAAACTCAGGAAACTCTGTCATTGTTATGTAATTAGGGGGATTTTCACGATTTTCTAGTAATGAAATACCAATTTTTGCGATTTTCTAGTAATTACTCAACCAGAACAATTCTTGATCGGACTTTACTTTTTGCCGACTTCTTGATTACCAAAGCCCTTTTCCTCTGGTAAGTGAAAGGTTACAACAACAACCAAGTCTTATCCCACTAAGTGAGGTTGGCTAAATGGATTAACTTTCGCCATAATATTCTATCGAGGACCATCCTTCTATACAAATCGTTAATCTCGAGATCTTTCTTAATTACTTCTCTTATAATTTTTCTAGGTCTTCCTCTGCCTTTAGTTGTTTGATTTCTCTCCATCTGATTTAGTTTCCTTACCACATAATTTACAAGTCTTTTCTCTACATGTCTAAACCACCTAAATCTATTTTCCACAATCTTTTCTATTGTAGGTGCTACCCCAGCACTCACTCTAAAATTGTCATTTCTACTCTTATCTTGTTTAGTCTTACCACACATCCAACAAAGCAACCTTATCTCTCATCTCTACTACACTTACTTCCGTCTTCTTTTCAATTCATAGACGGTTACAATTCTGCCAACAGTCTTTCGAACGAGTAGTCTAGTGATATGAGTTGGGAAGCTGAATAAATATTATGTAAGAGGTTCAGTGTTCGATCTCTCGTGCTAACAAACTCTCTCTCCCTATAACAAATTAACCACTCATTTGCCTAAAAAAAATCTAACTCATCTACTAATGTGCTGAATATATTGAAGAAGTGATGGTCCTATTATGTCATCGTCATCAATCTTCTTCCAATACAAGGCTACTGGTTTGAGAAACTTGTAATTGTTTCAGACTAACATAAGAACAGTTTATATGAAATGTTTAACTTTTTAATTTATCAGCAAATAAAAGAACGAAGTTATACCTTTTTAGTTGATTTGTCTGTCTGTTGCATTATGATATCGTTAATGAATTTAGTTTATCTGATGACGTCATTACATAGGCGGATATAGTTCTGCGAGGATACTCTGGTTGGAATTCAAGGCGTGCTGTGCAGGTTTTGGATACAATTTTTCCCAAGGTATTGAGAATTTTTTAGTGGTAAATGTTTTAAAATGGTTATTCTATTTGTGTTCATTGAGGGATAAATGGTGTACCTTGTAAAAGAGTTTGAAAGTTGACTAAGTTTGCTATAGAGTGCTTTATCTTATATTCAGGTTTGAACATTGGTTCTTGGTATAATTTACAAAGAGTCACCTTTTTGTACTGTTGTCTTCTAAAACTTAGAATGCCACGGAGCAACCGTCGTTGATAGTTGTATACTTTGGCGGCAATGATTCTATTCTTTCTCATCCAAGTGGCTTTGGTCCACATGTACCTCTACAAGAATACATTGATAATATGAAGAAAATTGCTACCCATCTCAAGGTAAAAGTTCGCTATATTATAACACTTTCTGTCTTTGTTATCATTATATGGAAGAAATAGTTCATTATTCGAGTAATAATTTCTTGGGAAATGCATGCATAATCGGCATCATTTTTACTCGTTATAATTGTTGCTACAAAATATGACACATCCTAATGATTTCCAGAGCCTGTCAAAGAAGACTCGCCTTATATTTCTCACTGCTCCGCCTTGCAATGAAGTGCAAATCTATGGAAACAGGTTTTGACTGTAATTCATTTGCTATTTGATTGTTATAAGTATGATTTTGCGGTGTATCATAAGCATGGTAATCGTAGAACTCGATACCTGTACTTGTTACAGACCAATTATCCTAAAAGAACATAATATTATACTAAGATATATGATTCAACATCACTAGCATATGATAAACTTAGAGAATGATCGATACGTTACTATTCAAGCCCTTTTGATATTCTTATTCCGTGACTCTTTTTTTTGGACGTCAACCAGTTGTATACAGACACCACCAAGGAATAACGAATCGTGTCGAATATATTCAGAAGCTTGTTTGGAGCTATGCCGCGAGATGAATATCAAGGCCATTGATCTGTGGTCTGCAATCCAAAAGAGGGATAGCTGGCGAGATGATTGCTTCACGTAAGTTTACTCTCGTACAACCCTTTAATGCACTGTCAGAGTAAGACTTTTTATACTACCAACAAATCACAAACCATCCTTTGTTATAACTTTTTAGTAACAATTATGATTGATTATTTGGAATGTGCTTATCTTTCATTTGTTTTCTTGAATGCTGTTTGATAGAGATGGAATTCATTTGACACATGAGGGTAGCAAGATAGTGGCAAAAGAGATACTTAATACACTCAAAGAAGCAGATTGGGAACCTTGCTTGCATTGGAAGTCACTGCCAAATGAATTTGGAGAAGATTCACCTTATGATCCACTTGGCCCAGATGAAAAAACTATTAATATTGCCAGCTTGACCTTCCTGGAAACTGAGGAGTATGACTGATGTCCATTTGGGAGCTAAAGACATGCTACAGATCATTGAATCATTAAGAAATGTAATAATTGTGGTACAAAAAATAGAAATTATGAAAAGTTGTACAAAATTGTCATTTATTAATGGTATTCGAAAGACAAATTTACATAATTGAAATGAGAAGAATAATAAACATTTAAGGGATAATAGAAAAAATAACATTAATGATTCATTGGTATTATAAAACGACTTATATTATGGAACAATTTTTCCCCCCAAAATGACTTATAAAAAAAAGACAAAGGTAGTATTATTAAGTTTTCGTATAGATTTGTACCATTATATTTCTTACTTGCCAATTTACTTTGTTAATTGATGTTTGTTTGGCCATGATTCCAAGCTTGCGCATTAGAAGGGAACCCATCTCTTCTTTGCCAGTAGAGTCACCCTTGCAAAGGTGGTTATTGAGGCGATTCCTACCTACACTATGATGGTGGTGCCCATTCCCCAAATTTGTATAAAAAAAAATTCAAAAGTGCCAAAGGGACTTCATTTGGAGAGATTATGTGGATAAGAAACACTTGCACTCTGTTCGTTGGTCCACTCTTACCAAAGACAAACAAATGGGAGGGCTTGGGTTGAGAAATATGTCCATCATAAATAAGGCCTGCTGCCTTACTAAGCTTGGATGGAAGTTCAAGACTGATCACAACTCTTTTTGGAGTAGGCTCTTCAAAAGTAAATATGTTTCTCGTTATCCATCTCCGCATAGAATTATTGCTAAACCTTTAAATTCTTGCATTGGAAATCGCTGGTTGAGCTTAGGCCAAAGCTGTACTTAATGGCGTATTGGGATGTCGGCAAAGGGCTCAACATAAGTATGTGGGAGGATGCTTGGGTCAACCATGGGATTTTTCTCAAAGATTTTGACACTCTGGGATTTTCCGCTGGTTTACCGTGTGTTACTAGTTTATTGAATGATGCAGGTACTTGGAATTAGACTTTAATTGATAGTTTATTTCCAGCTCGCATTTCCAACAAAATTAGAGTTATTCCTCATCCTTCTGTGAATAACAATCTGGCTGACAACTGTGTTTAGAGTGATTCTAGAACCGAGAATTTTTTTATTTCCAGCATGTATAGGCTGCTGAGTCATTGTTCGGATGATGCTAATAATCTCATTTGGAAAGTTGTTTGGAATCTACAAGTTCCTGAGCGAACCCGCAATTTTGTTTGGAAAATGCGGCATAAGGGTATCATGACTAATTCTTATCTTAATTGCCTCTCTCTTCAGAATGATTCGTGTGATTTATGTGGATCGACTTCGGATACCATTCTTCATGCGTCGCAAGACTATAACTTTGCAAACAGCTTCTGGTCTTAGCTTGTAATTTATCAAAATCAAGCTCATTTCTTCTCCTCTTCTTTGATAGATTGTATCACTTCCAACATTCTTTCTCATACTTTTGGCAATCCTAATAACTGAGCCGATCTTTGGGCTTTTGGTTGCCACCAGCTGTGGGAGTGGCGGAACAAGAAAACTCACAATCCTTTGTTCATCATTCCTCGCAATCCTTGTCTAGAGGTTCGAAAGCTTGTTATTATTTACCGTGAAAGTAAAAATTTAGCTCATAAAGTCCAGACTACCGCTCGTACTCCTGCCTTCTTTACTTTTGGGTCTGTTTAAATACCGATGGGACCGTTAAGGTGGATTTTACTGCTGCTTGTGGTGGTATTTTTTGAGATAATCGTGGAGATTGGCTGAGCGGTTTCTACGGTTGTATCGGAGAACCCAGTCGCTTAACTGTAGAGTTTTGGGGTGTGCTCTTTAGTTTGAAATTAGTTAGGCAGCAAGGATTTAAAAAAGTCATTGTGCAATCTGATAACAAGACCGTGGTGGAATCTATACATGGGATCTCTTGGTGTGGTAATCAAGTTTCAAATTTGTTAAATCACATTTCCTGTCTTCTCCCTCTTTTTGAAGAGGTCCAATTTCATCATATTTTTTGAGAAGCTAATCTTTGTGTAGACTCCCTTGCAAATCTAGACTTTTCTAGCTCTTTCGAGGTCTCTTGATTAGTTGAGTTCCATCTCAGTTTGAGGTGTTTAGTTAGTCTGGATCGGTCTAGGGTGTCCCTGCAGTTTGTTACCTAGTTTCTTCCTTGTTTAGGCCCAGTGCCGTCCTTTTGTACAAAAAAATAAATAAATTAGTTGTGATAAAAGTTAATAAAAATGATATAATGACATAATGTTTGACATTTACACCGTATCTGTATACTATATATATATATATATATATATATATATATATATATATATATATATATATATATATATATATATATATATATATATATATATATATATATATATATATATATATATATATATATATATATATATATATATATTTTAATTATAATTTAGTGGATTAGGATTTGTGCATTGGAGTTTGGTGCATTGGGATTTGGTGTAAATGATACTATGTAAATTTTGGTGTTAACATAGCACATCTCAAAAGTTAAATGTAAGGAATAAAAAAGAGGTCTCACACGAACAAGTTGCAAAATATTAAAATTGTTTGATAACTCATTACTCTCATGCGTTGTATAGGCATGCACTCTCATGTTGTATAGGCATGCGTACGTATGCATTATTCGGTATGGATCCTGGTATGTAATACGACGTTTTAAAAAAAATTAAGGTACGAGTACGTTAGTATAATTTTTTTAAATACAACTATAAAAATAACAAAGAAATTATATTGTTTAAACAAAAACAATACATTAAAATTAAAAAAACAATTTACCTAAGAATAATTAATATCTGCGCAATAATATAAATAAGTCACACTTAAAAAGTATCAATAACTCATAAAATCATGGTTGAATATCGATATTTTCCTCTCCAATATCATTAAAAAGAGCAGTTTCTATTTCAGGTTCATCAAGAGAAAGACTAACAACTCCATCAAATATATCTCATTCGATCTTTGTGTTAGATCGAAGTCCCATTTCGACATGTGAAAATCTCTTTGATTTAGATCTTAACTTCATTTTCAACAATGTGAAGATCTCTATGTTAGATCATAACTTTCAACTTCTCATAAAAAAATGCGAGGACCTCTTTGTGTTAGATTTGAGCATTCATCCCTAGCATGTGAAGATCTCTTTGTGGTAGATCTTAGCATCAAAATTTTCAGTTGTATGAGGATCTCTTTGTGTTAGATCCAATCAACTTTATTCAAGGGCGACAATCTCTTTGTGTTAGATCAAAGTCTCTTTTCAGCATGCGACAATCTCTTTGTGTCAGGTCTAAACACCACTCTCAATAGGACGAAGATTATTGTGTTAGATCAAAGTTTCTTTATAGCAAGGGCGATGATTTCTTTGTGTTAGATCAAAGTTTCTTTATTTTCAACAATGTGAACGCCTCTTCCTGTTAGATCCAAACGTCTTTGTTCAAGGACAAATATTTCTTTGTGATAGATCAAAGTTTCTTTTGGCGGTGCAAGGTCTCTTTGTGATAGATCTGAGCATCCAAATTGCAAAGGTACGACAATCTATGTGTGTTAGATCGGAACAAAATCAATCAATGGTGACGATCTCTTTGTGTTAGATCAAAGCTTCCAACCAACAGTATAAAGATCTCTTTGTGATAGATCTTAACATCTTTTTTCAGCTTGCGATGACCTCTTTGTGTTAGATTGGAAAATCATCTTTGGACCAGGGTGATGATCAATTTTTGTTAGATCAAATTCTCTTTAATATGAAGATCTCTTTGTGTTAGTTCGGAGTATCATACACATCAGTACTAAGATCGTTGTGTGTTAGATCGAAGCTCTCAACTTATCAAAAGTGATGATATCTTTGTGTTTGATCCAAGCATCTTGGTTCAAAGGCAATGATCTCTTTGTGTTGGATCAAAAGCTTCTTACCAAAAGTACTAAGATCTCTTTGCGTTATATTTTAGCAACATTTTCAACAAGAATGAAGATCTTTGTGTGCTAGATCAACGTTTCTTATCAATAGATTGTCGATCTCTTTGTGTTAGATCAAAGACTCTTCTCAGCAGTGCACTGATCTCTTTGTGTTCGATTAGATCATCCTTTTTAGGGAGATTATCTATTTTTTTATATCAAAGTTTCTTTTCAGCAGTGCCAAGGTCTTTTTGTTTTAAATCTTAGTATCATTTCCAGCAGTGCCAATATCCCTTTGTGTTAGATCTTAGTATTATTTTCAACAATGTGAAGATCTTTGTGTGTTAGATCGAAGCTTTAAGATTTCAAGAAGGTTGTGTAGATCTCTTTGTGTTAGGTCTGACATCCACTTCCCAATAGTACAAAGATCTCTTTATGTTATATCAGAGTATTTATCTTCAGCAAAGGGCAAAGATCTCTCTATGATTAGACCCCAACAGCAGGAATATTTGAACATCTCAATCCCTACAAGAGTCTATTGTCAGCTAAGAGCAGATGGACATGGTCATTTCTTCCCTAGGAGAGTCTACCTTCAATGAAGAACGTCTGAAGAATAATCACACACAATACTTTACAAAAAATTCATCCCCAATAAAGTTGCATTCATTCATAACCATAAGCATATCATTTTATTGCATAAAAAGGTAAAATTTGGGTATGTTTGGTATTTAAACTATCTTTCACCATAGCAATTTGAAGACAAGAGTTATTCATATCCTCCAGTTAAACATGTTTAAATAGAGGGAGTTGTCATACCCTAAATTTTACCTTGATTTTCTTCACTTGCATCTACATAGTGAAATCATTCATTTTGTCATGCATTCTTTCACTCAAAAGCATTCTTCACAAGTTTAAATAAAAAATCAGGAGTTCTGGAATTTTATCAAGTATTGATGGCATTCATTCTGTCATCTGTTGATTAAGAAGTCAAAAGGCTTGACTTTCAATCTCAGTGCATCATTATTTCCACTTCATCATGTTTCAAAGGTCTAGAGGGTGACAGTCAAGAGTACTGTTGTCATCTGAATCTTTATAGGGTTTTGATTATGAT